GATTGAGTTGACGATGAATGCATTCTGTTTTGCCGCGCGTGAATCTAGTCATGTGGATGTTGAAGGCAATGATTCTATCGAGGCTGCTGGTTCGTAGCACGGAAGTGAATGTTCATGGGGCCCGTGTTGCTCGCTTTGATGGAGCAATGTGTTGTGTCGTTTGTGGCAGATACGGCATGAACCTCGATCACACGTTTTGTAATCGTGTCCCCTTCGCAAGCAATTCGTGCACAGCGAAGCCCTTTCGATGGTGGCTATTCGTCGCTGTATGGGTTGTGATCGTAGAGTCTCACATGTCCAGACTGGATGTTCCTCGTTGCAAACTGCGCATTGAGGATTTTTTCTGGTAGCGGACGCGGTTTCTTGATTACAAGTCGAATGTGATTGGATTTCGGTGGTTAGAAAGGCGTGATTCCGCGAGATTTTATGTTTTCTATTCTCAAAAGGGTTATTCTGACGTGAAAACGATGTTGACGGCTTAGTAATGGATGCTGGACTGCAATTCGCGCGTTTCTCTAAAAAGTCCAACAATCGGGTGTATGACGGCATTTTCTTATCCTTTAACGTCAATTCCCAGTGCCACGCGGTGTCGGTATCTATTTTCGAGAGGATGATCGCATTCAACACGGTGTTCCAGGACTCAATGGGTTCGCTTAAATTCTTTAGGGCGCGAAGATGTTGATTAATGGCGTCGACGAAATTTCCTAAGTCGCTCGGCGCATTCTTAGTTATCTTGGGGAGGTCCTGTATCGCGTTGAAATGGCTTAGTAAGATCCGTCGCGGACAGTCGAATTTCTCCTTTAGGATTTCAATTGCGTCTACGTAATTGCTATCTGTCGTGTTCAATGATTGGATGCACACGGCAGCCTTTCCCGTTAACGTGGATCGCAAGTACTGTAATTTCTGAACCGGCGTTAAATTCTCGTTACGGTCTATCATAGATGCAAAGATGTCGTAGAATGAGGTCCATTTTTCCAGGTCTCCATCGAAAGTTGGTAGCCGCATTTCCGGCAATTTGATGGCCATCGGGGCTATAACGTTTGACGCGTTGGATTCTGTGGTGTTTCGTCGCGCGGGCGCTGCCGGGTGTTGCGTATCGAGAAGCATGGACGCCCGTGTTATCGTCGCGTAATATTCGCCTTGAATTTCGTAACGTCGCGGTTCCTCGGATTCGTCGAGTTCTTCTAATTGGAATTGAATATCGTCGAATTTTTTCCACGTTTCGTTTAGGCCGCTTAAATGAGTTTGAAGCAGAAGGAAATTCCGTTGAGTTGACTGTTCGAATTCGTCAAGGAATTTAGTAAATGCGGTAATTTGTCCGATTACGCTACCGCGTTTGCGTCGCAAGGTGCTGGCAGTGATACCATGGGCAGCAGAATGACTGGAGTGCTGACCGGAAGTGTTTGGCATTGTGAAATATAGAGGGTGGTGAGACGGGGATTGATCGATCGATTCAATAAACTTGTGAACCTACCTGAGCGAGGAAGTCAAGGACGATGAGTCCGCACGATGTCCAATTCGTTGAGTACTCTAGTTGCTGCTTCAAGTTGCCGTCGGAGCGACAGCGTTGTAGAAGTCGAGTTGTTATGACCCACGGCTGCTTACAAGTGTAGATCTGATCAGATTCTGCGTCTTGATTCAGCACTGATTTAATATTAATGTTCGTGGCACTGGCACTATCACTGTATTGTCCACTGTCTCTGAATCCGGCTCGAAGGACCAATGTTTTCGTACGCTTCGCGAACGACCGATGTCTCAGAGTCGTCGAAGGTTGTAAAGCTTCGACTCTAGGTTTCTAGAATTCGCGAATCCGTACTTCTCTAACCGTGTTACGGGATAGAGATGGTAAGTTGAAAAATCTACGAGATGCGTTTGACTGCACGATTGATTCAAGAGTGACGCGATCTTTCCGGAGCCCGTTCCTCCTCAGCTCAAAACCCCCTCCGACACACTATTTTGAGGGTGTTAACTGATTTTTGCGTTGACCTTGTGATTCGATTGATTGGCCATCGACTTGGGGAAGGAGGATCCACTTTCCTGCCCCGAGTGGGAGGAAAACTCCTCCCTCACACCCAACCGTGGTGAAGGAGGAGTCCCAGGAGGGAGAGAGGGAGAGAGAAGGAGGGTGACCGCGGTGTCCTCCCCAAGTCGAAGGCCGCGGTAATTTTGCTTAGGAAAAGAAAAAACGGGACTCCGGATTAGGAAGCGCTGAGTTTCCGCACGTGTTGTACAGCTGTTTTATGGCTATATTGTTCCACGGGTTGGCAATGGTCGTTGCCGGTCGGCCGACGTTGGCCTCGAAGACCGGACCACCCGCGGAACAATATAGCTCTTCGCTGGTCAACTCAGGTCTAGTATTTTCGTTCGACGAGGCAATTCGATTACTTTACGATGACATTTGCCAGATGCGGAATATTCGAAGACTTTTCGACTGAATCACGGTTCCGCATCTGGCACCATAAAGAGCGGAAAAACCCGAGTTGACCGGGCGGAACACTGTACTTTTCGTTTATCGTAAAACATCGCATATTCTACCTTCTCTGTTTTGCTTTTGTTTCACCCTGCTTTTCTACGCTTTTACGTATTCACATTCTAATTAAAATTTATCCCTGTTCTTCTTGTTAATATTAAAAACATGCCTGGAAGTATGTGAATAAAACAAGTAAAATTACGATGAGACGTTCATACGAAAAGCACGTTTCAAAGCTCCCAGATCGAGTTTTAAATACAGAGTTTCTCAAATAAAATTTAAAACAAGCTTCTTTTTTTAGTTCCTTTAGAAAACTGCTCTATGAATTCTAGTTTAGAAACTAAAAACCTTGACTCGAACGTTTCCAAGTTTATCCAACGGACGATTCGCGAAATATCTCGCCGAAATAACGTGCACGCGTATTCCCAACGCATTTGAATAAATCCTCCCTGAGAAACTAATTAGGATTACGCCGGCCACGTTCCGTTTAATTGAACCGCGCTCAAACGTCACGCATAAAATTCTTTATCTTAAATATATGTCGTAAACCGCTTAAAAAAATTTCGCTTCGTTCCGAAAAAAAAAAACGGGAAAAAATTTTAATTTCGTCCTTCTTTATGCCTTTTATGACGGCGCTCGTACAAATTATGATTAAACGCTTAGGAACCCCGACCCGATTAAAGAAGACCGTGCTTTAATCCCGCGTCGCGATTACAGATTACGCGGATTGCGTCATGTTCGCCGAGCGCAAACATCCCCGAGCCGGTAAATTGAAGCGGAGGCGGCGTTTCCTGAAATCTTGACGTATAGTAATCAGCGAACCATGTTATGGAACGTTTCGTCGTTTCTCTCTTAACGGGGGAGGGAAAGGCGAGACGGCGGGTCCGATTGAATCAGCATGATTCCCCCATTGCGTATTACCCATTGCGTAACCGCTCAAACCTTCCGCTATTTCCGAACACCCTACAGCCCCCAGACTGGGTGAAACGAATCCTTTGAAGTTGATCGCCATCGAAGAAGCAATTCCACCGCCGAGGTTAACTGTCGTTTCGCCGTAGGAGGTACAGGCGTATGGATATATAGAGCTGAGAGTGCTGTTTCTGAAAGTATCCCTACCCCCAAGGACACCATTAGCCTCCCCAGGCACGAATTAGTTTCTTTGAAATACGCGCCAATTCAAATTTATATCGACCCATCGCCATTGGCGAAGTTTATTTACAAATATTTATTCACGAATCCAACGACCACACGTTATGATAAATCCGAAAGGGTAGATATTTTTGTAATTTTAGATAATGGAAGCCCCTCCTATTTGCAGACTTTGTATGCTCAACAGATATGTATAAAATTTTATACACGGGTAGATATTTTTTTAACGACGAGAATATTGATATTGTACAAATTCAGTGAAATAATATTTAATACTAAAATCACTGGCACCTCCAGTATACCCATTCCTACCATGATAGATTAAATGACATTTCTTTTTCTCTTTTATGAGGCAACGTACTCGTAATGGCCTGTTTTCAATTAAATGTACTGTTTATAGTCCAGTTTTATCGCAGTATAATCGATAGGAACCTCTGAAACTTCTTTAGATATGCATGGTCAAAGTAAATGTGAAAATAAACATAGAAGGCAGCATAAATTATAATACTTGATATTATCATCGGATAGGGGATGAAATGCCCTTTAAAATGAGCGTTTGTACGAGTCGATAGCTCAATTAGTTTCGGAGATATAGCAATTTTAGTTTCAAGTCCGAAGCGTTTGTTTACATTCTTACTACGGCCTTGTCAAGGTCGTTGACCGGCACGTGCTCGTAGTAACTAGGTCACTCGGCCACGAGTCACGTGCGAGACAAAGAGGTCGGACGCGACGCGTCAGACGGAGACAGAGATAGTCAAAATGAAAAAATCACCCACTTATATAAATTACGATATCTCGAAAACGAAAAGTCCGATCGACAAAAACAAAAACCCATTTCAAAGGGGAAGCTTTGCCGCCTCTAATAGTGTTTCAATAATGGATAAAACACTAGTAGTTTCGGAACTGCACGTATCTAAAGTTACAGTATTTTTAATACACGAAGAGAGCGTGGAGAGTTCATTTAAATTACGATATCTCCGAAACGGAGAGTCGGATCGCCAAAAACAAAAAACCATTTGAAAGAGGAAGCTTTTCCGCTTCCAACGATGGCTCAATAATTAATAAACCTCTAATAGTTTTGGAACTACACGCGTCTAGAGTTTGACTATTTTTAATACGCGTTTGTTACACTTCAGAGTGAAATTTTAAAAACGTTTACCAGAAAGTAGTAGGCCCGAGTTAGCGTGACAAAAAGCATGTTTGTAAGGGCAAACGGTAAAAGGAACCGTTCGCCGCCTCACGAGGCAGAATTTCCTAGGACGAAGGAAAATAGCTAGGTCGAAGATTGCCAAAACTAATTAGCCCGCGGCACCGTAGAGGATGCTTTTGTACAGCCTCGAATAATGGCTGGTTACTGAGGTGTATCGTCTTTTTGTTGCAGGTGCGAGGGTGGTTGGCTTCAGCTCGAGGGCGGCGCTCGAGTTTGCGGTCGCAACGAACGTTTTGTTCAGCCGGTCGTCCTGTTTTCCGACAAACAGATCCCGATCCTCCACATGCAGTGAGTACTTGCACATTATCGATCCGCTTTATTCGATCACGAGCCTTCGCTGCGCCGCTACGACGGAGCAAAGAAGGATTCGCCGATCGAATAAAACAAATTTATCCGTTTCGTTTTATTTCCCACCGCCGGCCGTTCCCCGATATATTAAACGCGCTAAGAAAATACTGGATTCCGATGTGGTCACCGTTAGTTCGCGAAGCAACGTATTAACTTTCGCGGGAACGAGCGGGATCCTTTTTTAATTAAGCGATCACGGGATTTTTTCTATATTTTAATATCGCTGGGTGTACGCTGCGCGCACGGTTTGTTCAGAAGTTACTGCCACTGATAATTTACGGAGCTTATAATACTATAATAAGTTTAGTGGTCTCGCGTTAATAAGTAAGGAGTTTAAAGTATGGGCAGGGGAACGCAAAGGAGAAAAGAATTCGTTTAAACTGCCTTCTACGCGAAGCAGTAATTTTTTTTACGGAAAATAATAAGTACTTGTCTTGGATATTAGTACATACATGCACGTTCAGTTTCTATTTTGACCGTATTGTGACCGTAGATCCTGCAACTAAAATTATGAGTAAATTTATACTATTTCTTTTATGTAAAGTTGTAGTTGTAATGCCAAATTGAGTGCTTATTTGCCTTTCGTAACTTTGTATATGTTTTACAATCAATTACAAATTTATAACTTTGCTTATATATTACACGCAAAGTATTTGAATTATTATACTTATATTATTTATACTATTTCATTTATGTAAAGTTGTAGTTGTAATGCCAAATTGAGTGCTTATTTGCCTTTCGTAACTTTGTATATGTTTTACAATCAATTACAAATTTATAACTTTGCTTATATATTACACGCAAAGTATTTGAATTATTATACTTATATTATTTATACTATTTCATTTATGTAAAGTTGTAGTTGTAATGCCAAATTGAGTGCTTATTTGCCTTTCGTAACTTTGTATATGTTTCACAATCAATTACAAATTTATAACTTTGCTTATGTGCAAAGTATTTGAATTATGATATATCTGTATATCTTGAAGACTAAAATATATAGAAAGTAGCAGTTGCTTCTGGGAAAGTTTAAATATTTCAAGAACCGTATTTAAGTCATCTCTATTTGAAAAATCATCAGACTTCTTACATTAACGTCGTAGAATGGTTCTTATCCAAACAAGCGAAATAAGACCCCCGGTGGACAAGTAGAATAGATTGTAGTACGCTACAGACGAGCAAGTAGGACCGTCTCCGGCGATTGAAGCAGGTATGTCAACAGCCAGGCAAGTGGAATAAGACCGCGCCTGGTCAGACATACACAATAGACGTCTGGGTGGTCGAACCCTGAGTGTAATACGATCGTTTCCGATCAAGTAATTTCTCTAATTATAAACGTGTGGCTTCTCGCCACTTCAAGCAAGTAGTGTAGACAGATCTTGATCGAACCAGTGGAAGGAGCGATTACAGTCAGACACGTAGAACAAAACAATTATCCTCGAATCGCTCAACTATTTTTACAATACAACCCTGCAGTAATCATGCCGTAACATCGAACGTTACGATCCTTGTGATTCCATACGTTTCCTAATGTTATCCATAACCCTTTCGAATCGTAATGAAAAGATTTACAAAATCGATTTAACGTCGTTTCGCTTTCGTAAAAGCAGACCAGCGATTCGCGGGGCAAAGGGACGATGTTACAGTGCACCATTACGAAATAGAAACACGTCTTGAACTAAGTGCTTCTTATTACCGGGAACCACCGGGCGTTTCAGTCGGCCGCACGAACAGCGGAAACGTTCGCGTATCGAGTTTCACCGTTAAACACCCGTCGGCCTCACCCGCCAGTCGGAGGAAACGACTTATCTCGCTGGTTGCCCCCGTCCCGGTTTTTTCCAAAATCGTGTAATTTTCCGAGGGCGCGTGTATCGCCCGTAAATTTTCCCCGAGCGAGCATTCACCGCGCGGAAAGAATTAAGCAAAGGAAATAACTTCGCCGAGAGATATTCACGGAATTTACTTCTACGCCGGAGGAGGCCCTCTCGTAATTAATTGCCTCTTTTTCCCCTTTGTCCACTATTCGCGAGGCGTTATCCGACGGTTTTTTGCGTACCTTTGTTTAAATGCAAATTAATTTACCTTTTGCGAAATGAAACGGCTTCCTTCCTGCCGGGGCCGGACTGTTTCCAGAATGCAATTACTTTTCATCGGTTCCCTACTTCGATCGCGCGCCCGCCGTCGTTTGAGTCTTTGCGACCGCTGATCCGGATCGGTGTTTTCCCAATTTTACGCGTCTACGGGAAGACTTTTGAAACACGCCCGCCACTCCGGTCAGTTGACTTTTCCAATGGAAACGGAATCAAAGCGGAAAACAGAAGCGACGGAGTCGATCGAATATGTGTACTTTACGTTAGAACTATTGTGACTACCTTTGCTTTTAGTAATTGCATTTTTATTGTGACACGTGCTTTAGAGCATTTTATTTTTGCATTTGCTTTTAGAATCTTTGGAAATGTTTTCCCCTGAAAATAACAATAATTTCATTCGTTATTCGTCAATTTTTACGTAAGATTTTGGCGACTGCTGTTTCCCATTTCGAATCCACGCGAATCCCGCTGTTGATCCCGATATCTGCGGTCGCGCCGCGAACGCGTAATCGCGTCGTCTCCGTTCTAATCGCGGCGATTGGCAATTTTACCGGCGAATCAACAATTTGCAGAGTGACTTCATCGTAGCGTGAACCGTCGCGTTCTCCAAACTAAATAAATCGACTTGATTGCGCGTATGTGCTCGGTCTCGGTTTTGCGGTCGCGCTGCACACACGACGCTGATGAAACTGATCCGGGACAGTTTATCAATTTCATAAATGGCGGACCCGCGATAATCGAGCACGCCGAGGAGGGACTTCATTCCCGTCGACCGTGTTGCGGTGACGCTAATTGGAAAGTAGTCAGGTAGGGGATTAATTCGTTTCCCGGTTACAGTCGTACGCCAAAAATCGATCTTCCTGCTTCGAAACAACCACCGAAGCGGACAAAATCGTTCCATTTTTTTATTATTCGTTCCTCGAAACGAACTCGAAATTATTTTGGACAATTTCAAAAGAGACACTCGACGCACCAGAATTCGAAATTTGAAATTTGAAATACAGAAGTTTCAAACTCGTTCTAGAATTAAATGTTTCACAATTTAATTAAAATCAATTATATTGAGTAAGAAACACTGTTTGGGAGTTGATTTTGGAAACCAAGTTATTGCCAAGCAGAAATTTGATTAGAGATTGAGTAATTAAAAATTGGGTGCAGTCTGTTCGAGCTTTCGTCGAATAAAAAGTTCATTTAATTAATAGTCGCAGTGGTGACGCGTTAGATACGTTAAAACGCGGGTGCTTTTTGAATCTGTCAGCTTTTCGAGGCGACTTTCGTTTTTTTTAACGTCGCGTCGTTACTTAAGCGGCTGGAGTGGCGGTAATGGCGAGCAGCCGTTGTCGAAATAAAGTGTCTGGCGAGCAGGAAGCGGCGTAGAGCGCGAATCCCCGGTGCGTTTTGAGATTCAACGAGCGCCGCGAGACCCCGGCGAAAAAGAGGGGATAAAACACCATCTGACCTGAAAATGTCTAGCATGTTGTTACCAGATACTTTCGCGAGAGCGATTCGACGAAGGGGGTTCGGTCGATCGTACGGTGAAATTTATATAAGTTGAGAAGTCGAGCGTAATGTGGCAAACCGACGGCGCGCGACTGGCATAAATGTGTCGAGCAATGATTTATGGCGTTTAACTTCCGCCCTCGACTTCGACGATCCCTGACTTTTCATGGAAACGCGTAAAACCCCCCGATGGGCGGCCTTTAATTTCTTGCTCGACAATTTTTATTTCACATTTATGGGGCTACGTAACGTAAAAACATAAATTGCTTGTCACGTTTCGAAAACTATTGCAGCGTGTATAGTCAAAATTTAATACCAATAAGTGCTTCGATACTTCGTTTGGATCCTTTCTAGCATGAAAACGAAAAATTGCAATTGCAATTTAACAATAATAACAAAGAAGTTTATTAAAATAAAATTAGATACACTGAGAATTGTAACACGTAGCTTATGAGAACTAAAATTAAATAGTACACAGAATATTATTAGAAATTAAAATTTTCAAATGAATTCGAAATTTGATGTATTTGTATTTTAAAAATGTATATTTGAACAACTAAAAATATATATCATTTTTATTTTGTTTTCCCCGTCACGAAACACATTCGATACGTTTTTTAGTTGTTCAAATATGTACCTTTGTTACATAAATATATCTCGAAAACCGAGGGGAGTGTTTCACCCCTCTATCAGAATTATTGTTTAGGGTTTTTTCTACAATAATATCTTGACTGATTAATATAACAAAATTATTTTAAATTGATAATAAAATCGTTCGAATCGACCGGAAAGCAAATTAATTTTCCAGGCTCGCGCGCAATATTCAATTCTAATATTCCGAAATTCGGTACATGAATGGCATTTTTCCAATTAGTCGTCGCTAGCTGTCGAAATTACGCTCCGGCCCATCATACCTCGGAAATCTGAAAGTAATAGGACTATTATCTGGTCGATTAGCGATTCGAATTTACTTCGAACTCGTAAATTGCTCGAGTTAACGAGGTCGTCGATAATTCGGACGATTTAAAATTTAAAAGAGATGCGCGCGTATCGCGATACACGCGTGCTATACAGATCTATTTTAAGTTGACTACCAGTCTAAAATCCTAAAATTGTTTACGAGATCAAAACTCTGATTTTAGACAATTGTAAACTGCACAACTTAAAAGTTGTCGTAATAGTTACTTTTCTAACCTCATTCAAATTTACGAAGCCTATAAAAATCGATTTTTTTTAACATTTCAACTTGAGAATTCATTGTTTTAGTTTCACTGTTTAAAGTTCTGTTACTCAAATATGGGTGACGTGGCAGTCAAAGTGTTAACTCCCATATCCGGTGCGAAAAATTAC